ATGCTCTAAGCAAATCGAGTACAGAAATGTAAGACAACACAATAGAGGTCATTATCACAAGCCCACGGCTGGCATCACCCTCAGTGGTGAAAAGCTGAAAGCCTTTCAGGTGGTAAACAAGACAAGGACAGTCCTCCTCAATACTGCTTCACAACACAGTGCTAGAAATGGGAGGCAGAGCAATGAGGAAGGAAAAGAAATAAAAGCCCTCCAGATAGAAAACTGCAGAAGAGAAGTTGTCACTCTTTAGACAGGATCAAAAGCTGTTCTAACAAATTCAGTGAAGTTGCTGGACACAAACCAACATACAAAGTCACACAGGCAACGCACAAAAGAAATCAAGAGAACAAGCTCTTTTATGAGCCACAAAAAAAGAAAATAGAAACTTACTTGTCTCTTTTTGGGTTTTTTTGGGGGGAGGGGGTACTGGGAATTGAACTAGCGACCTTGCCCTTGCCAGGCAGGCAGAACCAGTGAACTAAATCCCGGCCCCTAGTCATCTCTTTTTCAGAAGGACTTATCCTGGTTTCGGGAGCCACTGTGGCTTCAGGATGTGGAAAGACCTCTCAGTGCCACACACAGGACAACTGTGGTGGCAGGAAGGAATTAAGCATGGAGTTAAGGAAGGAAGGAAATAGAAAGAAAGAAAGAGAGAAAGCAAAAGAAGAAAGAGAGAGAGAGGGAACGAAGGAAGGAAGGAAGGAAGGAAGGAAGGAAGGAAGGAAAATGCTAGGAGTCTTTCCCTACATGCTTGACTCCCAGACACAGGGCTTGGTCCATTTTCTGGCCCCCTCCCAGGGTGTTGGGGTCACCAGAATATTTACATCACTGAGCCAAATGTATGCTGGACTCAAGCCCTCTGTTTCTGTCCAAGCCCTGAAAGTCCAGTATAAGTGCATGCCCGGCCTTGGTGGGAGGTTCTCCACCCTTACAAGCTAGTGGGAAGTTTACACTGTTTTATTTGTTCTTTTCAAAATTCCAGGCCTTGGACAATGAGCAGGGGCGCGTGGATGGACAGGATAAAGAAGGACCGTGACAGCAGTAATTTCCGGGGTGGCCCTCCGATGTTGATATCAGAAGTAGTACTGCTGGGGCCCCTTTTCTGTTCCTACGGACTGCCTCGGCCTCCCTGACCCCACCGCGGCGCATGTGTGCGCTGCTTTGGCCCGATCCAGGCTCACCGGACCCCAAACCTCGCCCGGTTTTAGCACTTTGTTGTCACTGAGACACATTCCCTGACACCCACTGGAAAGAGCACAGATTTGTGGCCGACAGGGTCCCCTGTGTGGGTCCCCGGCACAGGAGTCTTCAGCGGGGTTCCCCTGACACCAGGTCTCCAGGGTGTCTACACGCACCAGCTCCCTGGCACATGCGTCCTCCACGCGCCGATTTGGACGTGCAGGGGACCCCGGCCCAGCGACTTCCCTCCCTTCAGAGGTGCCTAGCCCTGCCCTATCCCCAAGCCCTGCTCTCAGCCACCGGGCCGAGGCGCCTGCGGTTTCCGAGGGCGACTTCAGCAGGCGGTCCCCAGGAGCGGGCCAGGACACTACGGCGACGGCCACAGGCGGAGGACGGCGCGCCAGGCCGCACTGGACAAGGCGAGGGGCACTGTCATCAGGGCGCCCAGGGCCGGAGCGCCCCGCCGTCCCCGCTACTCGGGGCTCTGCGGCACGGTGGGGATGTAGCACAGCCGGAGCACGGTCGGGACACTGCAGCGTGCCCTGCCACTCCCCGTGGTCTCTGCGCGGCTCGCGCGCCCCCTGCTGGTCCCCGGGCGCCACTGCGTCCTCGTGGGCCCAGCTCCGGGCTCGTCGGTGTCCACACTCCCGTGGCCGCGTGTCCGAACCGGGCCCCTCCGCAGGCGGGACAAGGCGTCTCCTGGGGCCTGGCCAGGCCGGCCTGGAGTCCACCCGTGCGACCTCGGCCCCCGCAGTTCAGGGATCGCGGTCACCACTCGGACTCGGGCTCGCCCTGCTGGCCGCGCAGGCTCGCTGCGTGCTCTCCCCGTCGGTACCTCGGGGAGAGGCCCAGCAGAGGCGGCCCCCCTACAAGCCGCCTCCCGGACCAGGAGGACGGAGACACTGCCTCGCAGAAGACCGCGTGGAAGCCAGGAGAGCGGCTCAGAGCGCGGGCGACCAGGAAGAGAGGATCAATTTTCAACAAAGTTACCAACAGCTGCCATGTGCTAGATACCAAGATGTTCTACAGCAGGATGTCGAGCAAGTTCAGTACATGATGTGATGTTCACACACATGACCGTGCTAAACATGTGAGCATATGCATACTCTTAGAATTTGAGGATATTGGTCTATCATTGTCCTTTAGCTAGCAGGAACCTGAACTAAGTTTAACTAAGTTTTTAAAACTCAAGCTGAACCTTGCAGGTTTTCCACTTTTATCCTTGTAACAATATTTTCTCCCAGACTGCATATAGATTTGCGTTTTAGAAAAATCAGTACCCGGAATTTTCCTGGAGCGTGGTGAACCTTGGGGTTATACCTACATGTGCTTATCTGTGTGTAGAGCTTCCTTCATATTTTGACTCGTCTTTTTGTCTTCTCAGGAGCATTGCTATATTCCTAAGGTCAGTTCTATATTTCCAGTTTTCTGTGTCTTCCTCATCCCCATCACATTCTCATAACTGTTCTTTTTCTTTACACTGCAGATATTTCCTAATCTTGGTTTCCAAACTTGTGCTCTTTATGGTCTCCAATATGAATTTCTACTCTGCCTTTATTGTTTTGGTGTTATTTATCCTTATATACTTTTAAACATATCCTAGCTTTATGCTCATTAATATAAGTCAATTTTGGTTATAAGAAACCCGCTTCATGAGAACTTTCTTTTAATACCTGTACTTTGGCTAATGAGGCAGATCTTCAGATTTTTGTTTGCTTCTTGAAGTATCATTTAAACTTGATATCGCTCACCCTTTTTAGGTATACAGCCTTGTGAATTTTGACACATGTATGCAGCCCTTAAGCACCATCACAATACATATATTACACATTTCAATTAGTCCTTACTAGATTCTACCCCTTTACCCTTAGCTCTAGTGACCACTTATCTGATTTGTCTTTATCATTTTATAGTTTCTTCCAGAATATGATATAAGGTGCTACTTTTGAGTCTGAGTTTCTCATAGAGCACAATGCCATCAAGAGTTATAATTTTGTTGCATATGTCAATAGTTTGCTTCTCTTCTGCAGGGATATTCAGAGTGAAAAACATCAATGAAGAATACAAAAGAAACCAGCAGATAGCAAAGACGGGTGGGTGATGCTCAAGTTTCATGAGATGTATTTCAAGGGAACTTGGTTTCTGATGGAGAACAAAGAAGAAAGGGGTTTAATGACACAAAAATTAGCAGCCAAGGGATTGTGGAGAAAGCACTGCTCTTAAGTCAGGATTCCACAGAACAGGAAGTGAAGAAAACACCACTGGAGACAGCCCCCAATTCAAAGTAGTACGAAAGGGCTTGAAAGGAGAGTCAGCACTGCATGGTTAGCATATTTACAACAGGATCATAATTTAGAAGTCTTGCTGCCAGGTGGCTTAAACCATCGATGGCACATGTACAACTGTCCCATCAGGTGGTTTTCTATTAATTGTACTGGTAAAAATATCAATGAAAGTGATTAGATCTGTTGGTATCACCAGTGGTACAAGCTGCCTAATGGGACAGTCATGCATGTACCACTGGTGGTTCAAGCTGATGGTAACATGTTAAACTCCAAGGTTAACAGCTGGCAGTCCTGGCAGACTCCTAGAGGAGTTTGCTTCTTTTTCTCTTTAGTAGTATTCTTTTTGTGAATATATCACAATTTGCTCATCTATTCATCACCTGGTGGACATTTTGGATCTTTCTAGTTTTTAGGAATTTTGACTAAAGCAATTACAAACATTCAGGTACACATTCATGTATTTATTTCTCCTAGTTAAAAAGAACTACGTAGCATTTCTAGGTTGTATCACAAGTGCAGATTTGATTTTATAAGATGCTACCAAACTGTTTTAAAGTGGCTGGATCATTTTGCTTTCACAGCTTCAATATTCCTACTGCTCTGCATGCTTGTCAGTGCTTGGTACTTTCAGTTTATTTATTATTATTATTATTATCATTATTATTATTATTATTGTTTCTTTTTCATTTGGGTTTTTGAAGCAGGGCCTCCCTTTGTAGTTTAGGCTGGGCCTGAACTCACTATGTAGCCCAGGCTGGCCTCAAAAATCCCAGCGATCCTCCTGCCTTAGCCTACCGAGTGCTGGGATTACAGGCATGCACCACCACGCCCGGCTTCAATTTATTTTTAATTACTATCCATTCTAATGTGTGTTGCAGTGGTTTTGTTTATTTTGCAGTGCTAGGATTGAGCTAGGGGCTTTATGCATGGTAGCTCTTGATGTGGTTTTAACTTACATTTACCTAAGGACTCCTGATGCATGGAGGTTGGTTCCATACATCTTTCCATGTGCTTCATGTGCTTGTCTGCTGTTCATCTTTTTATTTATTTATTTATTTTTGTGGTACTCGGGATCAAATTCAGGACCTTGCAATTACAAAGCAGGCATGGTGCCAGGGAGCTAAATCCCCAGCCCTGTTCATCTCTTTTTTTATGAGGTATCTTTTCAAATACTTTTAGTATAGATTTATTGAGATGTCTTCTTATTAAATTTTGAAAATTTATTATGTAAATTAACATCAGAAAAATATTTGCAAATATTTTCTCTTGATCTAAGGATTGTCTTTTCATTTCTTTTTGTTGTTGTTGTTAAATTCTTTTATTGGTACATTTTACGTATACAACACAATTACATTTCTCATTGGGAATTGTACCTTTACATAATGCATCTTGGTTCTTATTTTTTTCCCCATT